CATATTTTGAATGTGGATTTGAACTTTATGGACATCCTGGAAACCGCGAAGAGTTATTACTTTCCTCTCTTGATCAATGCCAATCTTAACATTGGAGCTAGCTGCAATGGATGATATTTCATGAAGTCCTTCGGCTGACAATGCTGCAATATGCTCGTGTTCTATTTTGAGGTCAATAAAGTTTTCTTTCACTGTTTCTCTAATTTGTTGCTCAGCTTTTAATATTGCTTCATTTGTTTTTCCAAATATATCGAGTGTAACCTCAGACTCCAAAGAAGGAGTATCTTCAAAATAAGATTTGCTTTCATCACTATAACCAACAGCTGATGCAACAGCTGAGCCAACAAAAGCTTTTGCCTTGCTCAGAAAACCAGATTCTTGCCCGTTTGTCCATGACTTGAGTGCTTCTTCATATTGCTGAACAATTTCAGGTGACAATGTTGTATACAACACACGAATAACTTTCATATGAATTGGATTAGTATCTAAAAATTTCTGTGATGCATCAACAATGGCTTTTGGTACTATTGCATGGCTTTGAAACTGAGCTGGAAAGACTATTGACTCAAACTGATTTTTTTCAGCCTTATCCAAACAAGCAAAGCTAAATTTTTTCTGTTCATGTGCACTCTGATGAAATGTAACTGGAAGATTCATTTTTCTTCCAACACCTCCTGAATTTGGTACAAGTGTCACAACTGGTTTTTTTTCTACTTGAGAAGCAGATGCATCATATGTAACTGTGACAGCAGAGCTATCATTTCCAATTTCTCCTTCTACAAGCTCTAACTGTAAACTTGTTGAAAGTAATAATGTCTTTCTTTTTGTTGCACCTGCACTGAGTTGTTGATACACTTTGCTAAATTCATCATACACACGCTTTTCATAAATAACAAAACGAACCAATTCAATTGTTGTGTTTCCCTTATTTTTCTTCAGGTATATTGCAGTTTCTTCTAGTAGTGCTTTAGCCACAATATCATTAGGGTACCCCAGTTTACCAGCACCAATAGAGGTCATTGAAAGACTCTTAACTTTCAATCTAGTGCATTCATCTAAACATTTCACAGCAATTTTCCTCAAAACCTATAATTAATGATTAAAATTTCAAGAAGAGAAAAATCATGTACTTTCTCAGATTCTTCAATTGAAGTACCACATGAATGTAGTATTGCATGAAGAATATACTTTGCTTTAAGAGAATGACCTTTAGTAGCAATAACACTACCAAATTCTATTGGTTTTTTTAAAGCATCACATTCTTTTTTCAATTCTGGGCCAGCCTGTTTTGCTAAAACTTGTCCCACAACTCCTTTAAGTTCCAGATTACGATCATTTGTAAGTACAACAGCTTCTTCCTAGTCAAGTTGTGACTTTATAAGTAATGCAAAAACAATTCTTACCTGAAAATCAGTTACACTCCCTTTAGTAATTAAGAGTGATTGCATAGATTTACTATCAAAATTAGTAGCTCTAGGTGACTCTTGCCCTAATCTTAATACTTTCTGAAATTCATCACAAATGTCTTGTTGATAAATAACAAAATGAACCAATTTCAGCGTGGTCTTTCCATTATTTTTTTGAAAAAAGGAGATCGTTTCTTCAATGAGAACTCTAGCCACAATATCAGGAGGGTATTTGAGATTGCCAGCTCCAATCGATGGCATTGACAATGATTTGACTTTTAGACGAGTGCATTCATCTAAACAATTTCTTACAACTTCTCTTAATACCTAAATAAATAGTGATGAAAATTTGTAATATTTTTTAATACTGCATGGTAAGTCACTTACCCCTTCAGATTTTCCATCATAATTAGGTAAGATGACATGGAGTATGTGTTTTGATTTCCTCAATTTGTAGGCTTTTGTTGCAACTACACTACCAATCCTGAAAGGTTTTGTTAAAGCATCACATTCCTTCTTTAAATTAGGCCCTGCTTCTTCTAATAAAACTTTTGAAACATATCCCTGAAGTTTTAGATTCTCATCAGTAGTGTTGACAAGAGCCTCTTCCTACAAATTACAAAAATTTTAAGTGCATCATAAGTCTGTTTATGTATGATCAGAATCAGCTCAAACTTTTTATGCAACATAATACATATGCAAGTACATGCATATTATCAGGAAAAATTATAAAAATGGAAAATTCTCTCTTTCTCAATTTCACATAAAATTAATTTTGACTCATGACCCTGTATATACTAGCTGATTTTGAGCAACTTCAAAATTCATTTAAAAAATTCAATTTTGATTGGAATCAGCTCAAACTTTCTACACAACATAAGTACATGTATATGCATCAGAAAATGTAATACAAATGGAAATGTCTCCTTTTCAATTTTGGCAAAATTTGGCTCATGACTCTGTACTGCAACTTTAAAAATTTATAAGAATCCAATTTTGATTGGAATCAGCTCAAACTTTCTACACAATATAAGTTTATGTATGAAGGAGCACAAGATGGAAACATATGATTTTTGTTATTAGATATAATTACTCTATAAAATGATACTTACTGGGTAGTCAGTAATGCTTCCTTTTGTTATTTTGATATATTCAATACTAGATCTAGTCCATAACTCTGGTACACCACTGTCAGACATTTTATGCTTCTTAGTTTTTCTTTTCGGATTTTGTTGTACAGCAACAGTTGATAGAGTTGGTGGCAGACTTAATGTTGAAGATGCATTTGGTGCCATACGTGATACATTTAGAGGTCTAAGGCTTTCAAAATTTGATGGTGACTTTAAAAAGGTACCTGACAGGTAATTCTTGGCTGCTTGCAGAAAAACCTCAACATTTCCTTCAATTATGACAAAATAAACTTTTCTCAGTTTAGTTGGTAGTTCTGTTTTGCTAAATTCAACTACAGCTTCAAAATGAACATTAGCACAAACAGCAATGGGAAAACCAAAATTACCACCTCCAATAGCTGGGAAGGCTATAGACTCATAATTTTTTGCTAACTCAAGACTCTGAAAAATTGTCTGTTTTAATGTTGCACAGGAATTTTGCTTGTTTTCAGCACGATATCGTGGACCAACTGCATGAACAATCGCTTTATACGAAGAAGGAAGGTTACCAGTTGCAGTGAAAAGCACAGCTGTTCCAGCAGCTACCTTTTTGTTTCTTCTGATGTAATCATCTGAATCCTGTTGAATACTTGAGCCACCTTTTCTTGCAATCACTGCAGCTACGCCTCCTCTGTGCTTCAGTTCTTCATTTGCAGCATTGACCATCACTTCAGCTTGATTAAACTCAGTTAAGTCACCAACGACTACATGTACTGACATCATTTCATCCGTAACACCAGTAAAAATTTCCTTAAAGACATTTGAAGACATTCCCTTCACTTCTACTTCAATGCATACTCCTGCAGCATTTTCAATACCTTTCAATATCAGTGCATTGTTCGAGAGAAAATATGAACAGACACCAGCTTGTGAAAGAATTATTTTCTTTGATGTAACTGACACCTGATGGGAAAGAATATCCTCCTTAGCTTGTTGAACAGCACTTGTTTCTCCTCTGATGGCAATATATGGTTTTGATGCATCTGACTTTGACAAAGCAATTATATCAATTCCTTTTGTTTCCAGGCTTCTCTTTACCTCAGACCATTCGACTTTCAATGCAGTATGAAACAAACGCCACACACCTCTACTAAAATTTATTGTTTCAGAAACAGAGCATGCTTCATTAATAAAACCCATGAGCTCATTAATGACATCATTAACATCTCCAGCAGTACTGGCAACAGTCAGCTCATTTTCATTAATTGTAGAAAAAAATGAATATTTCTCAGCAAGATTAAATTTAAATTTTGAATAATCATCTCCTTCTACTTGATTCTGAAAAGACAAAGGTATTTCACAAGACTCAGTAGCTATGGCCTGCTTAATAGTGTCAGCTAATTTTTCTGCCAGAGACACATGCTCAGTTGAATGCAATAGATAAAGGCACTGATTAATACCATCTGTTGTAAAATATAGAAATACCCTAGAATCGCTCGTAATAGTTTTAAGTACTCTTTGCCCAGAATTTCTTTGTAGAAACTTAACTGCGACCGTTGGAAGAGTGACCTGAACTTTCATGTGTAAGATGTACTCTGGAAATATACCCTTAAACTCTTTGACATCTTTTACAGAACCAACTATGGACACTG